CAGTTACATCGAGGAGATTGGATCCATAGCACGAAGTTTCTTCGCACTGAGATGTAGCAAGGCGCTTTGGATTTAATATTTTGGGACTGCACTAACCTCCAGTGTTAGTAGGAAATTCACAATCGACAGGGGAATATGGAGGACAGCTGTTGAACAGTTGCTAGAAATGCTCTGCCTATCCTTTAAGGGTTTCCTTCTTGACTATGAACCCGTAAAGTCTAGGATACGGCTGAATCGGTTTCTATGCTTCCCGTGCAACTGTCGTCCTTGGAACACTTCTCGCCGTTCATTCTTTCCCGCTGCCTTATCATCAGTCTTCCCAATTTTACTATCCAGTCGTCGTTCCTTATTCCTCCTTGTAGATTTGTTTGGCTGCACGAGAGAGAATAATCGGTTGCTTTCGAATGCACAGTGAGATTTTGCAGGTACTCCTTCTTTGGCTGGTTTGTCTGTTCTCTACGCGCTTGGGCGTTCTCCGTAACCCAGAACAGTTCGATTATTCCCTTCCTGGTCCCGACTTCTTTTTTCGCTAGAGAAAAAACTGTCTCTGAACTCAATGAAAGCTTCATCGACTTTGCCAGTTACCACCTGGGCACTGAAGGGCACTGAAATAACTCTCTGCTTCTTTATGGTAAGCCGATCGCGCCTCTTCGCCATGTTTTAGTTTGTCTACATCGAAAATCAGATGTATTTTAACCAGACGACGTCGATGCGGCACATCGTTTTAGGCGACGTTTCGCTACGACCATATAGTGATCAGACCCAATGCAAGCACCACGGCTAGTTGAAAAGCTTATAAGGAATCGTCATATTTAAACGATGACGTATTGTAAAAAAACACCGGATAAGAAGATTTCACTATATTCGATATGCTTTTAGCTGCAAGAGCAGCAGAGGTGTTTTTCCTCATTTTGATGAACTGTGACGACAAATGCTTGCACGGGCATTGTTCAATTTTTTGAATATGTCGATTTTTAAAATGCAGTCACATCTAATTTCGATTGCGCGACCTGCAATTTCTTAAGTTGCACTCTTTTCATTGTTGTGCATGCAAGTAATTTGAGTCAACACTGATGTTGAGACTTCTCAGGTTAAAGCCTATTGTAGTTCGTTTGGTTCTGGATTCCCTCGACTCTCTTCAGCCGTATGTCGTTGCGAAAGATTTTCTCAGCTTGTTAGTTTTGGCCCAGAATGCCAAAATTCCATGCACTTGTTCAGACTGTACCCTTACTTCACTTTACTTGACTACTCCTTGCTAATAACAGTACACACCTAGA